TTTTTTGGTGATGGCATGTTCAGAATCTTGGATCCCTAAGTTCAATATATTGGAAATATTTAGGAACTCTGGAAATTATGTTGTTTTCGCATACCTAGTAACTTACTAGATGAATCAGTAGATTTCATTAAAGTATATATAATCACAGATAATTATGATCTTGTACTTCTGGGTTGACATGCATGTCTCACATTATGTCTGTCAGTATTAGTGTCATGCTTTGGAGACAATTATCTTTTGAAGGTTTTGGGGTTCTTATGAACCTCAGTTTTCCCAGGCAGTTTATGTAATTCCTCCTATGCCTATTCTTGTCTTTTCTATCTGCTTGCAGTGTAAGTTACTTAGATCAGAGGCAGTTATTTTTCAGGAAGAAAAAAATCATCAAGTGACAATCCTAAAGGCAGTAATGACAAAATTTCAATCTGGAACCGGTCTCGGAATGTCCTATATTAGAATATACAAAGTCCACCCACATTATATCCAAATATACTTGTGGCACAATGCTACCAGTTTTCAAAATGAGATGTTATTATGTAGGGCAGAAGTGCCAATGAGGAGGGAGAAGAAGCTGTTCAGTGGCCCTCCAGCCGCCACCTCCTTCTATTATTGGGTGAATGAGTTAGTGCAAAATTAGTGGTCAAAAGGTAGACAGTGTGAATGAAAGGGAGGAGAAGGAAAGAAACTTTAATCTCCAGGAAAGATTATTTATCCTTTAAAAAATGGAAAGTTGAGTGTGTTCCATGTACCTGAACATGCTATTTAAAACTGTGGGCTGCTTTCAGAATGCAGACTAATGCGTTCTCGACCATTGGAATGAATGAAAATTTGTATTTGATAGGAGAGGCAGAAAGTCCTTGAGCAGTTATTTTTTTTCTTAGCTGTTCCTGGGATTAAGAGACTTGAGAAGCATTCTGGGGCAGATACATATGATGGTCAAATAATTGACCAAAACAGGGGAAGACTGACTGTTAAGACGACATTCAGAGCAACTTGGAAATGGATCAAGGGGAAAGGATGAAGAGAATGCACGGAACTATAGAGACTGAGTAGAAGCTCAGTGGCATGTTCATATATTCGTTTATTGGAAGTTTCATTGTTGGTGGATTATGCAATATTTCTGAAACTAGTGTATAGCAGAAGTTTTCATAACATTTCTATTAGATGGCTTTTGGAAGCTGAATAGTCTACCTCAACACCCCTGGCTCCTTTTTGCTTTGCTCATTTTAAGAGAAATTGGCTGATAATGTATTTAATAGAAAGCACAGTGAAAACATTAAGTAGGTTTTTTAAGGCCAGGCGCAGTGGCTCACGCCTGTAATCCCAGCACTTTGGGAGGCCAAGGCGGGCTGATCACTTGAGGTCAGGAGTTCAAGACCAGCCTGGCCAACATGGTAAAACCCCGTCTCTACTAAAAATACAAAAATTAGCCGAATGCGGTGGTGGGCACCTGTAATCCCAGCTACTCAGGAGGCTGAGGTAGGAGAATTGCTTGAACCCGGGAGGTGGAGGCTGCAGTGAGCCGAGATTGTGTCACTACACTCCAGCCTGGGCGACAGAGTAAGACTCCATCTCAAAACAAACAAACAAACAAAAACAAAAAACCCACATTAAGTAGGTTTTCAAAAGTCACGTTAAATTTTAATCTGAACCTCTATTGCCTGTTAAGCCGCTTTCTCATTACGACAGACTTTTAGAAACTTTTATTCTGTGATACTTTTGGCAATAGAGGTGTTTCCTTTTAGCCAATTCTAGCCACAATATTGACTGGACCCAGGCATTTGATACACCCGGAAGGAATTAACCAGGCAGGAGAAAACTTGGTCCCTATTGGAATGAATATTTTAAAGACCATCTTAGATTCTGAAAACTGTGAGTACAAATGAAAGAGACTCAAGAGGGAAAAACTTCAGAGCCTAAGAATAAAAATGGTGGTGGGATTGGGGCGTAAACTCGCCCAGAGCTCACTTAAAGTGCTCTCAGCGAAGGAAGTGACTTTCCTGGGGTGGATGAGATGGTGCATGCAGGGCCTGGAGCTGTAGGCGTTCTGATGTTGGGTAGCTCACACTAGCGGGCTGTAGTGTGTTAAGAGTAGTGGCATGTGACTTTGGAAGTATTGATACATTTCCTAACAGTGAGTTTGATTTTGTTCTGGTATGCTCTGAATGGATATGTGGCTCAAAGATTAACTTAGCTAAAAATAAGTATATTAGATATTAGGGAAATATTATTAATAAAGGTCTTCTCTCCCTGTTGGATAACTTTAGAAAATAATGTAGACAACTGAATGTAGTGGAGATGATGGCATGAATACTGTCAGGGTTTGATGCTTGCTTCCTAGAAACTTCCTAGAAATAGAACAGATCTAGACATAGGGAAATAAGGTTCCAAATAAAACCTTACACTTTTATTCTGATTTTGTGTTGGCCTCAGTTGTACTAGAAGAGTGTTTCCGTATGTGTCACTTGGGGAATCTGCACCTTCTGGCTCACTGCACTTCACAGCCCAGCATATCACTGAGAATTCAGAAATCTTACTCTTTACCCAGGGATGAACACATCCTTATGAGTTCAGGTACACTAAATACATAGGAACACCCAGAGAAAATGAGCACAAAACAATGGTTCTTTTTATTTTGGAAGTTTCAGACAAACTCTTTGGAAAATCTGAAGAAATCTATGGATCGTTTTCCTGGGAAGACTGCACAGACATACATATTCGTGTGGTTTCTGTGGGTGTAGGGACTGGCCCTGGTCACGTGTCAGGAAGCCCCGATCCAGAAGATCGTCTTCATTTTACCTTGGCCGGCGATCTGACTCTGTTCTCGCGCCTATCTGTGATTGATTCTCTGTCGCCTTGGAATGGAGCGTCAGGTCTTGAAGGTCGCTCACTGCCTTTCCAAACATAGAACTGAGCCACACGGCAAGAGCTTCCTAATGAAATGGACAGAAACTCTCTGCAAAGGGCTGCCCCAGAAGCACAGGTGATAGAAATAGAGTCCAAGGCACTAGGCATGCTGAGCCACAGTCCTCCTAGGCGATGCCTCCTGCTGGCTTAGTGGGTTTATTTCGTAAGTTGAGTACTATTGTCCTGTTTTTAAAATGAACATATTTCTTCTAACATTTCTAACAGTTATGAAGGTTTTCTCCCTAAGTGTGACTTTTTCTTATGTCTTGGGGTATCAGATTTACGGCGTAACATGTGTACTTCAAATTATAGCAGTGACTGGAAATTTAGGATTCTTTTGTTTCGTAACACTTAAATCTGCAGCACATTTTCAGGAAAATGGGCAAGTTTCACAGATAATTCCTTCCTTATTCCTTTCAGATTTTATAATTGTATGGTTATTTCTGAATTTGGTTAATTTGTTTATAAGTGTAGTGGACATTTAACAGAACAGATGCACCCGGTTATCTGATTAGAAACATGTTTCAACACAAGGGTCTCTTTGCATGGTTCCAATCTCTGTTTTGGGATCTGGGATTCTCCACCTGTTACATCGTTCGCTGGAACTTTCCTGCAAAATACAGCCTCACTGAGAGGCACATCATGGAAGAATGAAGCAGCCTGAAGAAACTCTAATATTGGGACGAGTGGAGAGATGGAAGAGCACCATCAGAGGGTGCCGCCGCACATTCGGGAGGCATCCCAGGCGCATGGCTCTTTGTATGTGAGACAGGATACCACTGTCTTTTATGCATTGGACTGGTAACCAGATAAAATAACCTTGTAAAACAGACCTTTTATGTAAGAAAAATAGAACTCTCACCTCGCAAACAGTGCTGTCTGTTGCGGATGAAGCCAGCAGCAGGAGGGGAGCCAGGTCAGTCCA